CGCACCGCCGGCATCATCAATCACCAACAACCCGTCAGCCTTACTCGCCATGCTCCGACAATCTGGTCTTCTCTCCGGCGCTGCCGGTACTAGCACCACTCCCGTGTCCGTCGTCCCAACTCCCGTAGCACCCGCCGCCGCCTGGACCTACACCCTCAAACAATACCGCGGCCCACACCTCATCAACCGACTGCACGAAGACCTCGGTCCGCCCTGCACGCAGTGCGGCCGCCGCTTCGGTATCGACGAGGAAGGCCGGCGCAAGAAGACGGCGCACATGGACTGGCACTTCCGGGTGCACCAGCGGGTGACGGACGCGGAGCGGCGCGGCCAGCACCGTAGTTGGTGGGTGGAGCAGAGCGACTGGGCGAATTCTTCAGAAGCTATTGATATTGATCACAGCCATCGCTCCGATGCCGCCACTCATCCATCTGGAGGTCATGGCGGTGGTGTGCCAGGGCAGGACACGCTTAACTACGATGACGATGTGGATGATGATGATTACGATCCCGAAGCAAACTTTAATAGCTCATACAACAACGCCGACTCATTGTACCCAGGCGGCGGTGCTGCTGCCGGTGGTGGGGACCATTCGGGAGGCGGTCATGGTCATGCTTCTTCTGGGAAAGCCACGGCTAATAGGAAGGGGGGCAAAAGGGGCGGCGGCGGTCTCAACTACATCCCCGTTCCCGAGGACTCGGCAAAGGTCAACAACATGTGCCCCATCTGCCAGGAAAAGTTCGAGATGAAGTGGCTGGATGAGGCGCAGGAGTGGGTGTGGATGGACGCTACGAAAGTGGGCGGGAGGGTGTATCATGCTAGTTGCCACAAGGAGGTGAATGGCAGCGGCGCTGTTGGTGGGGATGGTGGTGGTGGCAGCAATGGGATGATGGGCATGAGCATGGGCATGGGCATGAGTGGAGGAGGGGAGAACGGATTTGGGGGAGGGAGGAAGAGGAAGGCCGAGGTAGGTTTTCATCACTCTTCTTCTCTCTTTGTTGATTTATGTCAAGTGAATTGATACATGGCTAACTCGGTGAAACAGGACGATGCTTATTCAGGAGCAAAGGGAAGGATAAAGTTGGAATATTAAGAGTAAAGTGCGAAGTGTGAGGTGGTGCGAGCCAGTCAGTCGGTCAAGTCGGTCAATGAAAGGGAATGAATGCAAAGCACATCTACATCTACATCTACATGTCCACAAATATCGAAAGTAAAAGAAAGGGAGGCGTAAGAGGGAATGTAAGTTGGAGCGCACTATTTGAGTATTCTTTTGGTGCGACGAGCATAGTTATGGTTTAGCAAAAAGCATTGGTATACACGACAAAGATCATCCTGTCCTATTCGAATACACGGTGACATCTTTGAAGCACCTTTGAGCTGCTGCGCTACTATAGGTTCCTTACTTTATATGGACTTGCAATTCAGATCCAGTGCATTTGGTTTCACGATTTCCTCACATGACACACATATGCATAGAGCGCGATACATAAAATTCCGGAGAAGCGCACTATGTCCACCTTTTAACAGTCACAAGCTTCCCGAATACACCTGAGTTTAATCTCGAATGGCCTGTCATATATGCCAGCCAAATGAGACCAGACACCACTTACAACAACAATACTTACCAATCCGGCCCCAACATGGATCACGGTAGATTTGTAAAGTAAAGACCATTATTATGCAGAACTAGCCAGCCTACCTAGGTGAGAGAACTCCTCGGCGAAGACCTAGAACAGTAGAATACAGCAAGTGCACATTTATTTCTCGCTCCAATACTGCACACTGTAAAACTGGCATGCTCAATACCAAAGAAGAAAGAAGCCGCCAAAAGGTATTGAAGTTCCGAGAGGAAATGAACTACCTGACCATCAAGAAACTCTCCTCCACTTTAGGAAACCTGATGATCTCCTCCCCAACATGTCGTGTCCCAACTATCATACCGCCGTGGTTGAATGGCAAAGCCGTCAAAGGGCATTTAAAGATACGCAGCAAGAAAATTGTCTATCTCGAAAGGGTTCATGACCATCAAAAACCCCTCCTCTTTGTAGAAAGAGCTAGATAAGACATACTCGACTTGAAGCAAAAGTCCACCGCTGCCGATCCACTAACATAATGCCCTAAAGAAATTGATACCACCATTACGCCCCGAATAACAATAGCCTCCGGTCCCATATAGCAGCAACTTTTTTCCTCCCATGATCCTTTATCCATCTCAAGGGGTATCTCCTCCCTGAACTAATCGCTCGCTTTTGTGCTTTTCTCTTCGTATTCGTCTTCTTTGGCCTTCTTCTGGCCCTTCCTTCCCCTTGCCCTATTTCTTCTGCAACAACAGGGAATAAAACGTCCATTAGTTATTCGCTGTACTGTTTGAAGAGAAGGCATAGTTGGGAGGGAAGTTGATGCCATTCGGTCCAACGGTGATGTTGCCAGGCAAGCCCATCACGATCGGGTCATCGTTCGCTGCGCTCTTGTCATTGCGGTCACCGCGTCTGTCATCGCCACTGTTGTTCCGGTGCTTCTCGCGACCATGCCGCCAGCGATTACCGGCAGGAGGCGGTCCTCCTGCGTTGCCGTTAGGATGCTGGGGCTCATCATCTCGGCGGCTTGACTTGGGGCCATGGTTACCCCCTTTGTCTGTCTGCATACGTCGACTGATAGCTTTTGATGAGACACCTGCGCCTATCTCGATATCTGGCTCCTCGACCACAAGACCGGTGGTAATAGGTTGGCCACCACTTCCGCCATAAGGCGCCGTCAGCATCCATTTACGGTCGGCTTCGGTAAGCTTGTGAATAGGAATGACGCTGATTCCAGTCTGGTAGTCACTGCAGTCACGGGGACCGAAGCCAACACCCCAACGAGTCTACAAAATCGTTAGTTGACGCCCGATACGAAGGTACAAATCTTCAACTTACCCGCAGCTGTACGTCGGGGCCTCTGTTCTCTTCCATGGCCTTCTTTGCGTTCTCAGCGTCTTGACGGTAGTACATCTTGACAAAGGCATGCCGTTTCTCTTTGTTGACGATGCACGTTTGGACTTCGCCGTAGTGACCAAAGATAGAGCGGAGTTCAGCTTCGGAACATCTACAGGTCGGTTAGTCAAGGCACATATAAGGTAGAATCAGAACAGCTTGGGTAAACTTACGTCACACCGCCGACAAACAGAGTGCGGCTATACACCTTGATGTGGCCATTGGGAAGACTAGGGTCGTGTTTGACCCATTTCTCAGTGGGAGGCTCCTGGCCCGGGCTCTGATGCCTACGTTGGGGGCGACCGCTGGCGGTAGTCAGGAATGCGCACATCCCGGTCTCTACCGCGATCATCTGGACGGCCACGGGGCGGGGTGCTTCGTCCATAACCAAAACGGTCATTACCGCGGGATCGAGGCGACCCCCTGACATCCCAGCGCCTCGGCGAGCGTGAGCGAGAGCGACCCCGGGGCCTGTTTGGAGACCTCATCCCATCACGATAGCCATTGCAATCACGTGATTCATCATGTCTCACGGGCTCCCATGCAGGGGCAGCGGATACACCGCCAGCAGGCGGAGGAGCCGCATACCCAGGATATGGGGGTTGAGCGACGGGCTGGGGAGGTGCTGTCAGGGCGCTGCCATTCCCTTGACCCAGCGTCTGTATTATAGTTGCAATCTTGTCGTAAGCCACGCCCTGGGCAACAAGGGCACTGATCAGCTGGGCAGTTCCAGCGGGATTCGCAACAGGGGTCACTGCTGGGACTTGGGCAGGCTGAGCTGGTTGTGCGGCCGGAGCTTGGAAACCAAATGGCATCGTCGGTGGCATGTTCATCGACTGCACCACCGGCTGCGATGCTGGCAAGTACGACATGCCCGAGTGGCCCACACCGGGGAGATATCCGGCTGGCAATGCTCCGTTACTGGGTTGGCCAGCACTGGGAAACAAATGCGGCGTGGAAGAAGTAATGGGAGGAATCTGAGGGACTCCCATATGTACCGGAGAGGGGGCTACAGCCGCAGTTACGGCCGGGGCGGGAGCAGGGGTGGCCGCGCTGGGATTGCTTTGAGCCGCATTCGCATTCAAGCGGGCGAGATTTGCTAGGGTCTCCAGGATATTGGGCGGCATTGTGGTAGAAGTTGTCGGCGTAGGGGCAGGTCTGCTAGCGGCCTGTGCCTGTAAGAAACCCAGCGGGTTAGGAGGAGGACTACCAGGTGGTGTTGTCGAGACATCTATCGGCACATGGCACAGTTAGGTCAGGAAGACAACAAGCACCGCAGAGGCGCAAGGGAATATGATTAGGAAGATACGGGCTAAACCTACTTTGTTGTTGTTGATGGGCATTCAACTTCTGCTTGAAGGTGTTGACCATATCGGGAGGGAATGTTTGGCCCTTATCCCAAATATCGACAAGCTTCTTAATCTTCTCCTACAAGACGAGATGGGTGTGAGTCTATGATCTCTCAAATACCAATCGCTAGATATCACCAAGATGGATATACGAGTCTGGTCTAGGAAGTGATGACGACTGGTCTCGCGGCATCTCACAGGCACTCCCAAGTGTGCTCGGGGTCTAGTCCGTGGCAGAAATGGAGATATGTGTATCAGATGGCACATGAATGTGCGCTGTTGTGTGTGCGTACCTTTTGATCCTCGGGGGCCGATGAGATGATGGCGTTCATGAACATGGGCATAAGTTCGGTCACTCTATGGACACCGGCAGCATAGGTGCCATCCGGGGCACCGAGGGTGACGGGCTGTCCGCGGGCCTTTGCCTGATCCAGCCACTTGCGGGCTACTGAATCTACGACGTACAGGACGCCCAGCTTGTGAGTGTTTGGTGTTTTCTTGTAATGAGTATACAACTTCTGGACCAGCTGTGATTCGTGCTGTCAAAGGGTGTGTGGTTAGCTCTGGTGCCTCCATCGTGCATAGTGTCGAGTCCAGACATGGCGCGCTTCTTACCTGGACGTTGTTCAGGCACAGCTGGGTGAGGCTACTGATCTTTGAACCAGAGACGCCAGGCGGTTTCAGGTTTTGCATTTCCCCGAGGCCCTTCTCTAGCTCAGCTACGGCCGCCTGTGACGACGACAAGGTTGATGACATCTTGTTTGCGAAAATCGATCTAGTCCAGCTGAAGTCGGGAATCAACTTGGCCGTTGGGCTTGGAGATACAAGCTGCGATGTAATACGGGTGTGATACGGTGACTGAAATATGGTTTCTATGCCACTACCATGCTCTTTGTCACGGGTGGAAAGACGGAGTACGTTGAATCAGGCTTGATCAAGCAGGTCGGCATGCAAGGTCTGCTTTCCTCTCTTCTCGACGTATATCACCGAGGTTACGAAGCTGCAATTTGCCCACGCCACCGGGTCCTCAAGAGAGCAGCTTGTACGAAGTGACTGTCCTTTCAGTGCGTCCTAAGACGGGAGCGGAAGCCGTAGTCCAATTTAGAGCCCTAGTAAAAAAAAAGAAGCCGAGAAAAGAGGCCAGAGATATGTTGCTGGCGGGCGCTGTGTGCGAGCAAGAATACGGTGGTCCTTTTTACTTTTGACGTGACGCGCAAGTGGAAACCACCAGCTGAGGATGGCTGTGACGACGGCAAGAACCGTGACGAAAGCAGCAGTACGGAGGGCAGAGATCAGAACTTGACCTGCGTGGAAGTGATCTGGGCGCACCCTTCTACTGTGAGGCTACTAGAAAGCGAAAAAATCCGGGTGAGACTGAGCTGACGCGAGGCGGGTGAGCAAAATCCTGGGCGACTAGTCGATTACTCGTTTGCTGGATTGATAGAGGCGATTCCGTTGGCGCTTGGATTTGTTTTTTTGCGGATGACAAGAAAACCGTGATGTGGTGGTGATGCCACAAGTGAGGAGGGAGTTGGGGTGGAAAGCGGGGAGAAAGAAAAGTTGTTGCAGATGTGAAAGAAGTGGACTGGACGGGTGGGTGAAAGGTGGGTGAAGGGTGGGTGGCTGCCCTTGGTCTTGGCTCCGTCTGTTCGAGTCGTCCGTCGGGTTCGATTGCATGCTTTCAGTTGCCTGTCGTGCCTGCCATGCAATTTCCTGTGTTGCGCCTGCTGTGCTACTGTGGCTGTTGACGACTGCGTGCGTGGGTGCGTGCGTGGGTGCGTGGCGTGCATGGGACGGACGAACTTGCACTTCCTCAGCCACCCAGCCAGCCAACCTGGTCTCGTTTGACCTCGAACTCAACTGCGGAAGACTCGAAACCTTACTTATACCTACAAATGGCCTGAGGCACGTACCAAAAGTGTAAAGCACTCAGGCAGCAACGCCCAGACGGGATTAAATGAGGAACCCCAACATTTGATCCACACCCAGTTGGGATCTGATTGGATGATGAAAGCTCTGGGAGTCCCGCTATTGCGTGCTCCATCCTCGACTCTCCATTTCCATCCAACCCCGAAGTGTTCCACGAAGAACATCCACGAGCAGCAGGACGGGAGTGTCGAAGACAGGCTACCGAACGCATTGTACAGGCGGGCTTGTCTGCTTTCAATCATGGATGAAGAGCGCACTCCAAATGACCGCCTTTTGACCGTCAATTGGCAATTCCAACATTGTTTTTCTGGAAAGGCCGGAGCAATGTTTCCACACCTGTCAAAAAGGGCGGCTTCCCCGGATGAGAGTTGGGGATCTCGCAAGGGCCAAGTAGACCCGACTCCCGAAGGCCCAAAGGGTTCCGTGACGTCAATGCATGTGTCGACCTCGAAACATGCGGGTGAACGGCAGCCTTGACATCGCGATGCTGAGATCTGGTCTGACAACCGCCCGCTGTCCCTCGAGACACATGCGATTGCAGAGACGTGCACATGATGTTGGTGTCGCAAGTGTTCAGCGTGGTGGTGGTGTCCAGGTCTTCTTCCGGTCTTCCGTCGTCGACCACCCCTTTCACCGCGCGCGCATGGACGGGACCTGGGAAGCGAAACACACGTGTGAGAGCCGCCCCGCGTTCGATCCTCAGAACGGCGTCAGCAACCGCCCGACCCCTCAGGGCTCGAGCTCGGCAGCTCGGCCACCAAGCTAGGTACCTCTACGTAGAAACATCAATTGAACCTTTGGCCCGCAAGACCTCAGCTTCATGTTCCAAATTGTCCACATTCAGGGTTGGGTAATCATCAAAATAGATTGGCGCCGGCCTCTACGGTGATTACGGTGTAGCCTTCTCCAGTCTCAATGTCGCGGATACGCGCGGGAAGAGGAGCATCGGTTTGTCAATCATTCGTCTCGGAGTCGGCCATTGTGGATCAAAGCAGCGTGTCGTGGGTGTCGTGTCAAGAGGATGCCGTCGTGGAACACTGAAAGTCGAGCATCGCGGTGCAACTTCGTGGGAGGACTGGCCCGAACACCCCGGTCCACTGGCCCGAGCAGAGTGGGAGCCCCGCCTATTTGCTCCCGCCCGTGAACATTATTGGACCCAATTGGCACTGGCAATTGCGGGCAATTCGCATCCAGTCGGGGCAGGCCAATCCCCCGGCAAGAGCGAGCAAAGCCCGCCAAAGCCAACGGACCTCTGGACCTGCCCTGGTTCGCTGGTTGCTACGGTAGGTCATATTTTCCCACGCATGCCCGCTCCCCGGCTGCGCTTTTTTTTCAAGCCCGTGCCGCCTTGATTGCTTCAACTTGAACCTTTTCCTTTTCTTCTTTCCTTCCCGTACTGTTCCTTTCTCCTCAACCACATCACATCCCTCCCACCCACTCAGTAAACCATGGCTCCCGTTATGCGCCTGGGCTCCGCCGCCCTGAGGTCCTCCTTCAACCTCGCTTCTCGCCAGACTGCCTTCACTGCCGCCAGATGCTACTCTTCCAAGACTCAGGTAAGGCAGTCTCGTGAAGCCGGGGACACACTGACATCATCCGCTGACCGCGCTTTTTTGGCCGTGATAGACTCTCAAGGAGCGCTTCGCTGAGCTCCTCCCCGAGAAGATCGAGGAGATCAAGGCCCTCCGCAAGTAAGCTCTACCTCTACCTCGGCTCGGCATAAGCTGTCGATAGCTTCTCGTGTCATCCATCGTGTTGCTAACCCGTCCTGTCAACCTCAGGGAGCACGGTTCCAAGATCGTCGACAAGGTCACTCTCGACCAGGTCTATGGCGGTGCCCGTGGCATCAAGTGCCTTGTCTGGGAGGGTTCCGTCCTCGACGCCGAGGAGGGTATCCGTTTCCGCGGAAAGACCATCCCCGAGTGCCAGGAGCTCCTCCCCAAGGCTCCCGGTGGCAAGGAGCCCCTTCCCGAGGGTACGTTCACATTCCTACGCGCCTTGCCAGCACCATCGTGAGATGTCGTGTCGTAAGTTCGGTCTTGTGTATTGACGTGATGCGCAGGTCTCTTCTGGCTTCTCCTGACCGGTGAGGTCCCCTCCGAGCAGCAGGTCCGCGACCTCTCTGCCGAGTGGGCTGCCCGCTCCGATATCCCCAAGTTCATTGAGGAGCTCATCGACCGCTGCCCCTCTGACCTCCACCCCATGGCTCAGCTCTCCCTCGCCGTCACCGCTCTCGAGCACACCTCTTCTTTCGCCCGTGCCTACGCCAAGGGTATCAACAAGAAGGAGTACTGGGGCCACACCTTTGAGGACGCCATGGACCTCATTGCCAAGCTCCCCACCATTGCTGCCCGCATCTACCAGAACGTCTTCAAGGGCGGCAAGGTCGCTGCTGTCCAGAAGGACAAGGATTACGCCTTCAACTTCGCCAACCAGCTCGGCTTCGGCGAGAACAAGGACTTCGTTGAGCTCCTCCGTCTGTACCTCACCATTCACACCGACCACGAGGGTGGCAACGTCTCTGCCCACACCACTCACCTTGTCGGCTCTGCCCTCAGCTCTCCCTTCCTTTCCGTCGCTGCCGGTCTTAACGGTCTCGCCGGTCCCCTCCACGGTCTTGCCAACCAGGAGGTCCTTAACTGGCTCACCGAGATGAAGAAGGTCATCGGTGATGATCTCTCCGATGAGGCCATCACCAAGTACCTCTGGGATACCCTTAACTCCGGTCGCGTTGTTCCCGGTTACGGCCACGCCGTCCTCCGCAAGACCGACCCCCGCTACTCTGCCCAGCGCAAGTTCGCCCAGGAGCACCTCCCCGAGGACCCTATGTTCCAGCTCGTCAGCCAGGTCTACAAGATCGCCCCCAAGGTTCTCACCGAGCACGGCAAGACCAAGAACCCCTACCCCAACGTCGATGCCCACTCCGGTGTTCTTCTCCAGCACTATGGTCTTACTGAGGCCAACTACTACACTGTTCTCTTCGGTGTTTCCCGCGCCATTGGTGTCCTTCCTCAGTTGATCATCGACCGCGCCGTCGGTGCCCCCATCGAGAGGTACGTCTTGATGCTATATGAACTCGTTTGCACACTGAACTATGGCTAACTCATTTACTCTAGGCCCAAGTCTTTCTCCACTGAGAAGTGGATCGAGATCGCCAAGAAGCTGTAAATTAAGCAATTGTTGTGATAGTAGTAGTAATGGTTAGGTAGTTTGGCGCGACGGTTTTCGGAAAACGGTCGGGCTTCGGTTCTTTTCAGCATAGAATGGATGGGATCTTCCTTTCAAACAGCAGCAGCAGCAGTAGCAACCTTGTGTTGTATTGTGACATGTAAAGCACCAGGAGGGTTGGTGTGTGTACAGAACATGAGGAGAAACATCCAGGGTTGTTTGGAGGCGATATCATCCATTCCAGTTCGCTTGTACTATACATATAACGACAATATACCACACACGCGTTCTTTGATGGCAGTTCATGACCACAACGTCCACATCTTTGAAGTTCTCACGACAATGACGCAGGTCCCGCTTGCGCAATCGAAGCTTTGAGCCCATCCAGGCACTTCTTGCCCGAGGCACGCAGACAGTCAAGACCAACAACGCTGGGGAATTTGCTGGCGCATGTGACGTGCAGAGCCAATCATGTAATGTTGTCGTGCGAACGTCAGACCCTGGAGGCCCGAGTGCGACTTCGGACCCCGGCAGCCGTCCATGCAGCAAGAGCTACCCTGGAAGCCAAGGAGATGATTATTTCCAAATATGATTCCTTGGTGGGTCTGTTTAGGTAGCTTTTGATTCCCCATGTGTTCGAAAGAAACGCGATAGCTTCAACTCTCCTTATGAATTCCAACACCGACCGTCGTTGGAACCCCTTCATTTGCTTATGCTGAGTCCTTGCTACGAGGATGATTGAAGATGGGAAGTTGTCAAAGCTCCAAAGGTACCTGTCGCTGACCCAACTCCAGACCCCGCGACAAACCTGGCAAATGGGAGCTTCCATGCCCGCGGGGCTCTCCAACATTTCCCCAAAGCTGTCCGCGAACGCCCAGACATTCCCCTTGTCCTGTCCCTCGGCCCCCCCCCCCACCCAAATCACACACAAACGGACCCCCCTTGCACACTTTGGGCTGAGTGTTGGGGCATGATGGTTGGGAAATTCACAACTTCAGTCCAGTTGCAACCACAACCAGCTAGCTGCTGGTTGATATTGTTCTGCTTTACAAGGCGCCACAGCCTCACACCATCAAACCGCCGATGTCCCAAATCCTAAATATGCTGGGATCCGGTAAGTAAACACTGTTGTGACAGTCTGGAGTTTCCACTTTTTCTTATGAATGAATGGACGAACCCCAAAATTGTCCCGACGTCAAGCATCCGGGACTGCACCGAAGATAGCTGTGCTGACACTGCATGAGGTCTTGGTACAAGTTGCGAAGATTTGTGATACGGTACGGTGATATAAGCACGCAGTATTTTTTCTGATACGGACTACGGATCAGAGTAATGACCCTCTGCTTCGCCATCGTTAAAAGACAAAAGGATGGAGTCGGAGGAATACAGTGAACTTGTGATCATTGCTCTTGTCCTTATCACATGCATTGGTCTTTGGATCTTGTCAATTTGCATAATACTACACAGGATATGACCGTCAACCATTACTGTAAGCGTAATACATGGCCCTCTCATTGTGTGAAAGCTTCATGTTATGTCGGGGTTCGAACGGAGTTGATATAGGTACGCAGTATGTAATTGTATTGGTGAACCCTTGGACCCCCAAACCCCCAAAAAAGAGAAACCCCCCGTGTGCTGTTCAACCCTTCCCCCTCGTCCTGGAACACAGCATTGCACCGTGTCCAATCCACCGCCCGCGTCTGTGGTGAGGTGCTCTACACAAATCGTCGCTTCCAATTGGCTTCTTTGTTGAGTTTTGTTGTTGAGGCCGGCAAAAAGAAAAAGGAGGAACGGTGAACACTCTGCGTTGACAAAACCTAAACATCCACCACGCAACGAAGCAGCAATCCTCACCTCACCACTGTCGTCGTCGTCGTCGTCGTCGTCCACGGAATCGAACCGCGATCCTCTCAATCAAGGTTAGTGGTGCGTCCTATCACGGTTCCAGGTTAGAAGCCAGAATGGCCTAGGGCAAAACCAAGATGCCGCGGTGCATCCGCTACAGCAGAGGGGCCGGTTGAGCGCTCTCGGTGGTCGCGGATGGCCTGCTGGGGCGCCAAACCTGGGCGTGCTGGGCAGGAATCCACTTTTGCAACTTGACAACACCGAGAGAACCGCTCTCATTAACACGTGCAACAAACAGGTCCCCTGCCCGCCCGCCGCCATCGCTTGCTGCAGCCGACCAAGACAGAGGCCAGATACCCTCTAGTTTTTAACTTCAACGAGTTGCTTCCCTACCGACTCGAAGTGCTATCCTGCTGCCATCAAGTTCGCTGCTGTCGACAAAACTCCGTTCGCTATCGTCACGATCGTCATCGCCGTGAGAGAGACTCCAGCAGCAAGGTCAGGCCTGCCGGCAAAAGAAGCCAAGTACACTTCAATTACTCCACCGAAGTCGGTCACTTCACCCGAGTAACCGGTGACAGCAGCCCACCCTCCGCCTCGGCTTACCTCCCACTCTCCCACCTCCAAAAGCCCCCTTTCCCCCCTCAACTTTCGCGAAGAAGCACCCGAATCCCTTGGTCAGGGCCCCAGTAATCCGACAACATCCGATCAGCCATGTCCGCCGCCGTCGCCTCCGTCCCGGCCCCAGCGCCGAAGAAGCTGGAGAAGAAGCCCGTCAAGTTCTCCAACTTGCTTCTGGGTGCCGGTCTCAACCTCTTTGAGGTCACCACGCTCGGCCAGCCATTGGAGGTCATCAAGACCACCATGGCTGCCAACCGCAGCGATGGTTTCCCTTCTGCCCTGCGCCGCATCTGGAACCGTGGTGGCATCTTTGGCTGTAAGTGATAACATGAACCTTCCCGGACGACCGGAGATTCACCAGCCGTCACCGCTTTCCCCAGCCCTCGTCTTGCCTACCTGCTCGTCTAATCCCACCATATCCTCCCCCATTTCGTTTTCCCACAAATTCCACTTGGAGCTTAATCTTGAGGCCTGGAAGCTAATCACCGAATGCTCTTCGTCAATCAGTCTACCAGGGTCTTATCCCATGGGCCTGGATTGAGGGCTCCACCAAGGGTGCCGTGCTCCTCTTCGTTGCCTCCGAGGCCGAATACCATGCTCGCGCCGCCGGCGCCAGCGACTTCGGTGCCGGTATCACCGGCGGTATCATTGGTGGTGTTGCGCAGGCGTATGCCACCATGGGCTTCTGCACTTGCATGAAGACGGTCGAAATTACCAAGCACAAGATAAGCGCCACCGGCCAGAAGGCCCCCGGCACCTGGGCCACCTTCATGGACATCTACCGTCGAGAGGGTATCCGCGGTATCAACAAGGGCGTCAACGCCGTTGCCATTCGCCAGATGACCAACTGGGGTTCCCGTTTCGGTCTCTCTCGTCTTGCTGAGCAGGGTATCCGCAAGGCCACCGGCAAGAAGGAGGGCGAGAAGCTGGCTGCGTGGGAGAAGATCCTTGCCTCCGCCCTCGGTGGTGGTCTCTCCGCCTGGAACCAGCCCATCGAGGTCATCCGCGTCGAGATGCAGAGCAAGAAGGAGGACCCTAACCGCCCCAAGAAGATGACTGTCGGCAACACCTTCCGCTACATCTACCAGACCAACGGTGTCAAGGGCCTGTACCGTGGTGTTACCCCCCGTATCGGTCTCGGTATCTGGCAGACCGTCTGCATGGTCGCTTTCGGCGATATGTAAGTTGCTGTCCCTGATTGATTATTTGCTGTGACTATAGTGTCTAACCACCTTTGCCAAACCCACAGGGCCAAGTCCTACGTTGAGAAGTTGACCGGCGAGGCCGTCACCGCGAAGCACTAAACGCATAAACGCATAAGAAATCACGGCGTTGATCGGAGCCTCGTTTCCGTATTTTCCTTTTTTTCCATCTCCACCAAATATTCGGTTGATCGGTCGGGTTGGTTTGGACGGTAGGGTTCAGGATGATGGATGGATGGAAAAGGTTCTATCCTCGCACATCATCTTTATAGAGAAAATTTTCGTGTTACTAAGGAAACGGAAGTGGGCGTGGTTGGTGCGGTGTGGATCATTTTGTTTGGGTTCGGGGAACGGTCTCGCACGCAGGTCCTCCCTTCTCCAACCGGCACATCCATGATCTCAGGTATCCCAGGACTGAAGTTTGTTTTTTTGTTTTTGGTCATGTTCATTTTTTCACGCCTTTAACGATTTAGTTGAGAAAGACAGAAATGGATGATGTTAGAAGTTGATCTATAATAGCCGGTGATGATGTTGGTGAAAATGGCTCGATTATGTAGTAGAGGGACATAGATATATATCACTACTTATCACGGAGTGTACCGGGCATCCGCGCAAGTAATTCAAGGTGTGCCATAGCCCCCTATTATTTGAGGCAAGTGATGATGACGACGAGTAGGTCTTGTCCTAGTCTCAACTCGGCGGCGTCTAAAGCTTCGATTCCTTCCCGTGCATGATGTCAACTCACTTTCTCCAACTCCAAACCCCCGATCACTAAGACTTCTGACCTTCTGATATGGTCTGTCACATCTCATGCTCCTCTCGCAGTACCAACATGTTGAAGGGCCACACTTGTCTAATGATGGATGAGTGTGCACTTGGAAGCTATGGTAAACGTTTGCATCTCCAAGTCCCTAACGGCAGTCTTACGGTCTTTAAGTTCCCAATCAGTCCCAGCCAGCACTTACGCTCGGCTAGCCTAGCAACTCGACGGCCGTCCTGGGCTTGGAGTGAAGTCATTGAGCCTCGGCGACAGCCACGATATCACGACTGCCGTGTCCGTGAGCTTTAACGCCAGTCAGCATGAAGGAGGTTGGAGTGTCCTGGCAGCTTCTAGGAGCTCATGGCCACGCAGGATACTACATTGATTATATCCCCCTGAGCTGGATGGGTGACTACAGAGTTAACATTACGACGTCATGATTGTCCTAACTGCCGAGAGGGATGTTGAAGTGAAGAGCTCTTCGTTCTTCTTGGCGAGGTGTTTATCGGTGTTTCCTTGCACTCTAACATCATCTTGCTGTGACACGAATAGCCAACAAGAATAGTCAAAGGCGAGAAGTCTCACCAACAAGCACAGCGAATCCATATCCTTTCCGGGAGATTAGGTCCTACACCGTAACTATGTATCTCGTTGTTGAGTGTTGAGGTGTTTCTGATGAGGCCAAAGAACTCTCTTCTCACAAGATGCTTAGACACCAAGTGTACGAAATCATTCCATCACTCATCTTTTTTATCGCAAGACAAAAACCAGGGATAGCTCCAACGCATCTCTGTCTTTTTTCTGTATCATACCACCTCCCTCTGCACACCTACTACATGGTCTCGGCAACATCAACCATGCTTGATATTATTGCAAGTTGCGTGCCAAGTAGGTACTTGACCTTATATCATATCCTGTTCTTCTTGTCCTGGCTGCTGATATTACATGTAAGCCACATAGAGTTTCGGACTTGACTTGACTTAATTTGACTTGTGTGAGATATTGGATACCACTCGGTCTTGCCTCGTTTGTCCTTGAGCCTATTAGCAGGGCGTAGGCACATATACTAGACAAGCAGGCATACCAGTTGCTCTTGCTTTCTCACTATCTTTTCGCAACCATGCATGATGGGTAAGGTACCTTATCTGTGAAGGAATCGCCTTTCCTCGGCTTCTTTTCCTCCAGTTACTCTCGGCAGAGTGTGGCTGCCCGGTGGTGCTCGTTTGGTGCACTGTTGACGGCAGGGCATGGCCGGGCAGTGACAATCAGGTTGACTTTGACTCTGCCTTCAGGGACTCTTGAGGTACCTTACTTGGTGACGGATCACTCCTGACTTTAACTATCAGGCTATCATTCATAAGATCTCAGAGCAATTTGCATCTCAAAATGATGGGTTCGGTTGAGAAAGGCGGCAAAGCTCACTTGGCTGGCTTGTTTAGGTCAAGTGTCTTCATTGCTTGCTGGGCTTCTTCTGCTTGACTTTAGACACGAGGATCGTTCCGCCTTCCCCAGATCTGATGACATGCCTGATTGGGAAAGTCCTTGGTTGACTTCTTGGAAGTGGAAGGTGCGACTAATGTGCATATCAGCTTCAGTGTCAGGACCTTACTGATTCTAGGTGTTCTGTCCTTTACGGGGGCAGTGTCACTCGATTCTGTCGTCGAAGACTGGAGAAATAAATTTCTGACTGAGTTAAGGGAATGCATCACGTTCATACCTAATCTATCGGACACCAGCTTGACAACTCGTTGTCGCCTGATTTTGTATTACAGCAAGCTTATCATTGCTGACTCGAGAAATGTCGAATAAACGCGGTGGTTCTGCAGCGTGAGTTTATCTAGCAGTTCAATCACAGCAACGCAGTAAGATGCAAATCGACGTTGCATGGGCATCAGCATCCAGTTACTCAGCCCTTGATTTGAGTCACCTTCACAAAGCAGGTAAAACTTAGTTTTCAGCCCGTTCAATCTTTTTTGCCATCTCGCTCCCGCAACATTATGATATCCGCCTGGTCGTAGTAAACTCATCCGGAAAGCTCGGAAAAGCGAAAAGCGAGCGTAAATCGACTCTTCGTGGCGTATGTCGTGATATTATATGGCCGTTCTTACATTCTCGTGCAACGCCGGATATGACGTCGGATATGCGCCTACAGCTGAGGTATCCGGGTATTCCGGATATGCCGGACTGTTGTTCAACCGCTCAACCGACCTCGGGAAGTCGATCTCGGGAGCGCCCACCGACCGAACATGTTGCCAAGTTGGAAGTTTGCCACTTCAATGCGGCCTTTGATCGATACAGTCAGTACCATCATCACCGAATCCAGCTACACGTGTTTTGGTCCAGGTTTTGTATATTGACATTGACAGCACAGTATACGCCGATCCGACCCGTGAGAGACCATAAAAACGGTCCCGCAACGAAAGTTTCGCTTGACACCGACGGCAAGGCTTTCTCTTCCACCCCACGTGGAAACCACGTGAAGCGATCAACAAGCCAGCAACCGCAAAAATCATCCATCTCGAAACGAGACTGTTCGCGTTACCATAAGCACTTGTATACAATTGCACCGGATCCAGCCAGAATCATACCTCGATGTCCAACAAACACCTGGGCGCAAAGGACAACGAGGGAGAGAATCCTAGATACTGGGTCATATGCAGTTGGTTCTGTCTGCAATAACGGCAATGCCGGCACTGCATAAAGCTGACCATGAAAGAAACAATGACATCATCCCTTGACCAGTGGTCTTTCAGCCTCACCGGTCAAAGAAATTATCACCCGCTTTTTGCAAAGTCTAGAGTCTAGGCCGAGGATTGATGTTTAAACCTTACCCATCAGGACTCAACAATCGACAAAGGTTCCTAGACGTGCCAGGATTTGTCCATCTTCGAGATCTCTCCAATCGGCCAACATGAATGATCAACTCTGTCGATCCATTTGATACACTGTAGCCGGGAGGTATCTAGGTACGGTGCAACTACGGAATAAAGAGCGATACACAAGTATCAGGGAGGCGAGGAAAATAACGGCAGGTAGGTAGGTACCTAATCCAACAGCACAGGATCTGAGGCATGTTTGACACCTGCTGTACTACCACAGCCAGAACCCAAGCAAGTACTTACACTTCGTACTCAGGTCCTCAGGCAGCGTATGACAAGCAAAACAGGAGCGAACGAATGGGTACCTTTGATCGCCAAGGTTGACACTTGTTTGAGAGTTCGGAACTCAGCATGTAAGGTGCCGCCAGCCAGCACCTCATCCTCAGTCTTGTGTCCCTGTAAGCCGCAAATGGACAATGGCACGCAGTAGGTTCTCTGTTCACTTATTTGTGTGATCTTCCTCTTCCGGGGCTGTGTTGCTTGCTGAGCTTCTGATGAATAGATAACTAAAACTCAGAGTATATTTACATCTGAGACTATATAATCACCGATCAAGAAGTCTAACTCCGAATTCATTCGAATCTGGTCATCATTACATGACCTACAGCAACATCCACTCGGACAAGAAGACCCAGGACAAGGCTGCTGACTTCTCAGTAACAAAGAGCGGACTGTCTCCGACTTTGTGTCCTCAGATCCGGAGATGCTCAAACCAGTGAAACACACTTTCACAAAAAGCCACCAGGCTGACGATGAGACGACCGGATGCCAAGGAAAGAGCATCAAAGTTCAGAAACAGCCAAGCAGAGAGACAATCGGGTAGCTGCTATCATGAGAAACCGCCAAGTTTGCAAACTCTTTCAGCTCAACAGCACTCCGTCGAGGTTATAGTCATGCTTCACGGTCGGTCATCCCGTCGCCAAGTTGCCAAGCAGGTGTACAACAGCTTGAGGTTTAGAAACAACGCCGCTCTGAGCCGCTGGCAAAGTGAAAGAGGTCCTTGTGACGGCCGAAATATAACGGCTTTCGAGGGATCGGAGCCGGCCGTGTTGTTACGTTGTTGACGAGGTTTTGTTTCGTATCAGCTTGGCTAGACGGTGACAAAGGTTAGTGACTAGAATCCAAAGAAAGGACAAGAACCAATGGGGTTCAAGTTGAAGTTGATAATAATATTGAGCCAACTATGAGAGAGGTTGAAAGAAGAAGTTGTTACTCAGGTACACAAAAAGCTGACAAGTAAACGAAGTGTTAGACACAGCCACTGGATAGAAAAAACATGATTGGCAGAAAGTTAACCTATTTACATATGCGAGTTTCCAAATCAAGCTTGAGGGTTGCCGTTCACAAGAAGGGAGGGTAACGTAATTGAAGGTGCCGTGCCCTGACTAGGTAGGTAGGTGACAACCAACCCCAACAAAGGAAAACCCATAAACCCTTCATGCATAATGCAAGGGCAGATCACC